TTCACTATATGATCAATAGTGCCCCGCCCTAACACCAGAACCCCTGACCCTGGTGCCATAAAATTCACAATTTTGTAAAAGGCACTCTTTTTAACTTAACTATGTACTAACATGGTTTATTTAATACCCTGGAGCAAAGAAGAAGGTTTTCAAAGAATTAAATCAATAGGGTCCCACCCTTACACCAGAACACCTGACCATGAGGCCACAAAATTCACAATTTTGTAAGAGGCACTCTTGCTCATCATAACTATGTACTTAGTTAGTTTATTTAATACCCAGAACCAAAGAGAAGATTTTCAAAGAATAAATGCATTTTCAATATATATAACCAATAGTGCCCCGCCCTAACACCAGAACCCCTGACCCTGTTTGCCTGCTTGATGTCCAGGAGTAAAGAAGAAGATTTTTAAAGATTGCTATAATTTTAGTAGTTTTGGTCCCACCCCTCAGGCCTCAGGGGGGCAGGGACCATAAAATTCACAATTTTTGTTTCCCTTCACCCATAGATGCTTTGTACCAAATTTGGTTCAATTGGTTCAGTGGTTTCATAGAAGAAGCTGAAAATGTTCAAATGTTAACACACGACGCACGACGACGGACGAAAACGGAAAGCAATAATTCACCTGAGTTACTCAGGTGACCTAAAAATTACACAACTCATTGGACAAAAATCATATCCAACAACAAATCATGGGTGATCCTATATCTAAACACTAATTTACGAGAAGTGAGGTCAAAAGAAAGGTCAAGGTCATAAGATGTTGATGCATTTGAAAAGATTACATCATAATATATCAAAGTGTGAAGGTTTATCACACTATCTTGAATTGTATCTTCAAAACTGAGCTAAATGAGAAAAAATAGGTCAAAATCAAATGAAAATTCAAGGTCAAAAAATGTTGATGCAGTTGTATAGCTCTCATCAATATCTATCAGCTTAGAAAGTTGATAAAAATATCTTGAACAGTTTCTTTGAAACTTTGCTTTGAACTGAGCTAAATGCAAAGTGTGACAGAAGGATGGAAGATGGAGATGAAAAACACTATACATGTATGCTAGCTGGTCTCTGTCTCTGTTTTATTCAGTTTGTTTGTCTTGTTCAAATCGTTCAAGTAGTCCTCTTGTTTCCTTATTTTAAACATTCATTTTAGTGTAAATTTCCAGTTCCTTATTTCTATTTTTGGTACATCGGTTAAGTTAGGAATAGAAGATTTTTTTGTGCAGGGTTGGGTCACTTCTCTTAAATTAGGACATTGCATTGGGTAGGACATCTGTTAGGCAGTGACGATGTTGAACTGATATACAACCTTTTTAATGTACTTTCAAAAAGGTATTGCAATTTAGGATCATGTATCGTAAATTGGGTATTCAGATACAGCAACCACAAAATCTGTTATCCACACTGCATAGTATAAAGATTTAATGGTGGAAAAAATGAATTTTCACAGAAACCAGAAGTTTAACCCCCCCTTTTTTTTACTTTTTTTAATCATATATACCATGAATACACAAGATGTTTTTTAATAAAACACAATACCACAGTAAAGTTCAGATATGTCTCAGTGAAAAATTGTCAACAGGTGTAGCTTCGTTTATCTGGGATCTGTGAATAACCAGGTGTTTTCTCTTCCTTCCTGTTCCTTTCAGTTTGTACATGTCACAGCGACAAAACAATTTTAATTATGAGACTTCATTTAATAGATGCAGTAAACCACCAGAACAACGAATTTCTGCAAACATTTCAACACCATTGTTGAACAGAAAGGTCAATAATTTGCTAGCTGACACCATTCAACAGGAACCATGACATAAAACGTTTTCATTTTCAATGGTTCAAATGTTTATACATGTAATACTCTATATCACAAAAACTTTCAAGATAAATTATGGAATCAAAATTACTTGACAAAATACAAATCCACACATTAATTTGAAGTGGGGGGGGGGGGTGAGAAATTTTCTTAAATAATAGGCAAAACTCATAAAAATCATAGGTTGACAAAATTATGTACAACAGTTTTGGAGGAGTGGTGCTAACAAACTGTTCATCTCTATATTCGGAGTGCGGAAATTCCAAGAAAAATAAAGGAATCTGAATTTCCTGGTAATATGCACATATACATATTGTGTTCTAAATATCTGCAAAGTTTAACGAAATTCTATGCAGCGGTTTATGAGGAGTTGCGCTGACAAACTGTTCATCTCTATATTCAAGGTATGGCCAAATGCCTAAGTTAAAAGTGCAGAAAATCCCGGAAAAAATAATGGAATCGGATTTTCCTTGTAATATGCACATCTACACATTGTGTCCTATATACCTGCAAAGTTTGACAAAATTCTGTGCAGCGCTTTATGAGGAGTTGCGCTGACAAACTGTTCATCTCTATATTCAAGGTATGGCCAAATGCCCAAGTTAAAAGTGTGGAAATTCCCGGAAAAAATAATGGAATCGGAATTTACTGGTAATATGCACATCTACACATTGTGTCCTATATACCTGCAAAGTTTGACAAAATTCTGTGCTGCGGTTTATGAGGAGTTGTGCTGACAAACTGTTCATCTCTATATTCAAGGTATGGCCAAATGCTTAAGTTAAAAGTGTGGAAATTCCTGGAAAAAATAATTGAATCGGAATTTCCTGGTAATATGCATATCTACACATTGTGTTTTACATACCCGCAAAGTTTGACAAAATTCTGTGCAGTGGTTTATGAGGAGTTATGTTGACAAACTGTTCATCTCTATCTTCAAGGTATGGTTAAATGCCTAAGTTAAAAAGTGCAGAAATTCCCGGGTAAAATAAAGGAATAAGAATTTCCTTGTAATATGCACATCTACACATTGTGTCCTAAATACCTGCAAAGTTTGACGAAATTCTGTGCAGCGGTTTATGAGGTGTTGCACTGACAAAAAAAGAGGACTGACTGACGGACTGACTGACTGACTGACTGACGGACTGCCTGACTGACGGACCAGTCAAAAACATACCTCCCGCAACTAGTTGCGTGGGGTATAACAACCATCATGTTGGCATGAAATGATAGATTAGCTCTTGAAAGCAATGCAGCACATTCTTTAGACAAGAATTAAATATCACACATCTGGAAGCAGTTTCAATACCATTCAGCTAGTTTATATTTCTATTAGGAAATATTGCACATTCACATTGTATGCTACATACAAGTTCTATTATGTACAAGTTATTATCTCTCATGTAAAAAAAGCAATAAATGTAATCAGAAGTTAAATGAACAATTGAACATCCTGAGCACTACTGTCTTTTTAAAAAAGATGTCACGTTCACTTAACCTAAACACAAAGAACTGAAGGAATTTTCATTTAAATCATTGGAAGGGTTCTAGAGTTTTGAGTTTTTCCCCTTTATCTATATGCACTTTTTGTCCAAGTAAAAAGGATGCCAATTTTTATCATGAAGTAGGAGACTGTGTATCAAGACTAGAAAACAAGTCCATTTCATCCCAGGGAGAGGTTTGACCCTGTGAACTCTGTACGGTTGATCATTCGACCGGAACCGTCACCAGTTCCTCTACTTCCTGTAGTAAGGCCTCTGCTTTCTCATTCAGTAAAACCTAAAAAAAAAAAAAAACAACTGAGTTGTTTAATTATTCCTTTAACAGAGACATATATTTAAATTTGAAAAATAATCATATTTCACTTCTATCAACCAATGAAAGTGCATGAAATCCTTACGATATACTGGGGTAAAAGGAGGGCTAAGAAGTGTATTATGAGACATAAAAGCTAGATGTAAACATATTTACAAAACACATTAAATACAAAGTTGCCACGAATATAAGCTTATCTTTCATGACTTTTTAAGACAAAAACTCATCTGTAAAATGAAATATTTATAAATAAAAGGACAATACACCTGTACGAGGGTTGTTCGGAAATTATTGAGACATTGTGTATATTTTGCTTTCTAATGAACGTCTTTCAGTGAAAATTGGCATATACGTTTGAAATACATTAAAAATTAATAAGAGCAAGAAATGTTTTACAAATATTAAATATTTTCTCTACAATGGTATAAAAATGTGTCAATAGTAGGGGTACCCGGAGCAGTCGCGGAATCAGACATTTAAAATATGAAACCCCAAAATTCTAACCCTTCGTGGATCAATACAGAGAGCGAAAATAATTCAGTTTAAGTGTATAATTTTTCAGCTTTGGTTCAAATTCATGTTGTGCAACTTTGATAGAATTTTGATCAGAAATATGGAGATCATAAAAAAATTAAGCGCGGTTGAGAAATCTGCTAACAACGAAAAAATGTATTTTGACGTCAAGGGCGGAGCAGCCAGCATGCCTAAAATTTTGTGTAGCGCAATGCAGAACTCTTTTCAAGACTGAACGACCTGCTAAAACAATAACACCGAGAAAAAAAATGATGTGTTAGGTTTGTATTTCCTTGGTATACTTTTTTAGCAATTAAATATTAAAATTAAAAGATCTGAACGACCCATGAGTTATTACATGCAGTATTGATATCGTTACGGTATTTAACCCCCGTTACATATAAATTTGCACCGCATGATTCTAAGTTGTTCTTTCCGATAAATGAATTTTTTTGAATGGGGTAGCAACAGCATACATTTTTAAAGAATAGTTTAAGAAAAGAGACTTTGATTTTTGTAATGTTATTTATGTAATAACAAAGAAGGAAAAGTATTAAACGCTTCCCGATCGTTTCACATCCGAAACAATCTACTGCTAACGTAACGTTAAATGACGTAGCGAGGCTGCTCCGGGTCGATAGACATATGCATATTTATTACCTCACAGAACCTTATATAGTTATCGTAGGAATTTGAAAATTTGCTTAAGTGTTTTAGACGTTCTTTATAAGATATTGATGAATTTTCATGAAATTATCTTCGTCCTTAAAGGAGTAAATGTAATTGTCTCAATAATTTCCGAACAGCCCTCGTATCATTATCTGAAAGTCATATAATTCATCACACAAGAAATCTTACTTTTGCGGAAGCGACGATCTGTTTGGCCGCTTTACGAGGGATCTGCTGTATGGATTTAACAAGGATCTCGGGATCAGCAGCCGCCACTGACGCCACAGACTGGAATCCAGCATTGTATAACTGCTTAGCTCTACCCTGCACAATGTCAAAACCACTTTGTAAAGAATATATCATTTTGAAATGCTTCAAATCCAAAGCTCGACCCTGTATAATGTAAAAAACAATTTGTATTAAAAGAACAACTTATCTTTATATGCTTTAGACCAAAACTTTCAAATAGATTAAGCAACAAGTTCAATGAAATAAAATAAATTTTTGTAATGGAACTGTGATTCATTATGTTTTGATATCATCAATTGTAGAAATTTCAAAATAAATATTTTACACCTGCAATGTCATCAAAGTGTACAATTTAAGAAAGCTTGTCTAATGCAGACAGCACTGGCTACATACAAATTCGCAACATTAGATAAACATTTTTATCGAAGGATTTTAATAAAAAGACAAGTAAACATGGTCTACATCATAAAAGACAAGACAATATCTGGCAAAACTAGGTTATAACGAAGTCACAGGGACCTAAGAAATTACTTCGCTATATCCGTAATTCGTTATAACTGTATAAGAAATCACTTAAATTTAAATAGCTGGGTATCCAAGACGACCTCGCTATATCCATAAATTCGCAATATCCCTGTTTGCACTAAACAAGTTTTGCTATAAATATCTGGTCTAAACAAGTTTTACTGAATACTATAGCATGTACCAGTTTGACGCCGGGTATTTCCATGAGTGGTAGGAGTTCTGCAGATACACAATAAGTCAGACGCTTGACAAAGGTTCCCAGTAGTTCTTGATAGGCCCAGAATTCCTCTAACTCCTGAAATGATGAGAGAAAATTTGTCAAATGTACTAAAACAACATTTTGTTCTACATGTACACTGCCTACTGTATAATCCCTATTAACCGCACTGGATGCTTAGAAAATTGTGAAAAAGGGGTGGTTATTTTGGTATTCTCTTTATAATATTTAATATCATAATTTAGGTTTATAATCTGTTTAAAAAAATATTAAATTCAAAGAAGAACTAAAACAATGTCTAACTTTACATTTTATTCTAGATGATTTTAATCAATGTACATGGGGCCCTTCCCAGCAGGCACACAACATTGAATAAACTTTGAATCAACGTTGTTATTGTATGTTGATTCAACATTGATTTTATGTTAGATTTTGAAAATTTGTATCAACGTTGAAGTCTTAACATTGAATCAACATTGATAATCAACGTTGATTATATGCTGAAAAACATTTGATTCAACATCTTTTCAATTATTTATTTTGGAAATGGGGTGTCATATAGTAAAAATATACTAACTTAAATTTTCAACCGTTTTATAGCACTTTTTGCTAAGATGCCCTCTTAATTGTTGAAGGGATAGCGACCCTTTGATAAGACTGAGACTTTCAAAGTACAATATTGTAACACAACTCACAGTTTTATTATATATGAAGGAAATATTACTTTCTATGTCTTTTGCAAATTTCTTTGTAATTGCTTTATTATATTTAACAATAAAACATTCAAATCCAACATCAAATGCCATATAAACTGAACAAGTTGTATCTTTTTAAGTACCAATTTAAAAATGGTTTAATATTTCAAGTACTTAATACAGTATTTAATTAGAGTGACTTTTTTTTCACATGAAAATTTTTTTACAAGATAGATAACTCCTCATCACAGATATTTTTTTTTCTCACAACCACATACAACACTTTGATTTTCTGACTCCATGATGTTTTCTAACATGATTTAAATAGGTATTATAGTAAGTATTATTTTCATATGCATCTCATATATTATAATTAATGTTGTGGTAATAAATCGTTACTCTTTCTATTTTCTGTGTTCAATTTGTTCATTTAATTATCTACACATAAAATCATTTCTGAAAAAATAATCATCACTTTTACTTCAAACTATTTTCCATGTGGTTCTAATGTTATTGTTTATTAAAATCAATATTACAAATTTAAAACTTTCTAAAGTGAATATTTGCCTATATAATCAGAAAATACTCAACGTTAAAAAAAATGTTGAATCTTCAACGTTGTTTCAACGTTGAATATCGACGAGCATTCAACGTTGAAATTGTGTTGCAGCTTCAACGTTGGTTCTACATTGAGATATCGACGAACATTCAACGTTGAAAATATGTTGCAGCTTCAACGTTGTTTCAACGTTGAAAAAAGGTTGAGGATTCAACGTTGAAACCTCAACGTTGAAACAACGTTGATATATAGGTGATCAACGTTGCAACCTATATTCAACTTCCTTTCAACGTTGAAACAACGTTGCGTGCCTGCTGGGTTATTTCCTGACATTTGAAAAAAGATCAAGGGGGTGCTTATAGGGGCAGGGGCGCTTAATAGGGATTATAAAGTATGTAGTGTACACGATATACACAAATAAGGTAATCAACTTAAATTTACATATCTAAAAAGATCAAAAACAAATTATGTAACCCTCTTTACCATATGTTGCAGAAATTACTAGTGACAAATGAATTATAATCTGAAGAATCATGAATAAAAGTTAATGCAAATAAAAGTTGGTTAAACAATTAATTATACAAATATGTGGTAATTTTTAAACCCAAACATGTACAGAAGTTTTTTTAAAAAAAAAACTGGAATTTGGGTAAAAATACTTTTCATTATTCACCAAAACACTTTTCAAAAACCTGAAGAAAATATCGACACAAAATCAATATGAAAGGTTCAAATCCAGTGTACCAATGCATGCATTGTTATACCTGTAAATACTCATTTCAAGAAACTTTTGCAGCTTAAACAATGTTTAGGTGAGACAAGTAAAAATCAAGGTAGCTAAGGACAAGTGAAATGTAATATGACTTACCAAAGAGTAATATATGGTAAGTGTCTCAATTGGCCCCTTAAAATGAATATCTTAATTTAACTTTATACAAATAGCTTTAATTTTTACAGCTATATATGTGACCTTTAATGGTCATTTTCATTTTGATTAAAATGCCATTATTTTAAAAATTTGACATAATAAAAATCACGTTTTATAACCATTTTAGCATATTTTGTATAAAACTGCTTATTTTCAAGCAATTTTTTTTCCATAAAATATCCAGCGCAGCCTTGATCAAGATTTACATTTTTACCAAAGACGTATCTTTCCAAAACTAATAAGTGACAGAAAAATAATGCATGCTCTACACTGCGCTCTATGTTTCCCATAAGAAAAAAAAAGTCAAGAAAAAGGCATATTTTTGGCTTTTTTGCTAGATAGCAAAAATAGCATTATTTCTAATGTCATTTACAGTTAGTGAGTGCATATAAATGTGAAAAATATATTTGAAATATTTCTAATATAATCTCTTTTACCAAATGATTATCAATATTACTTTTGATTCATTATTTTTTTTCAAATTCCAAATAATTTTCTCATTTTAAAAAAACACCTTTACGTTTACATTTCATTGCACACCAAAGTGTCACATTGAATAACTTTAAAACTTTAAAATCCATTGTTATCTAATGTGCACACTAAAAACTAGGTCATTGGCATAGACTACAGCCGACAAACATGGCTGACAGTGACTTAGAAAAATCTTCCCTTGGTTCTCCTCTAGCACCCATAGTAATGTGTGAAACCCACGAACAACCTATTGATATGGTATGTGAGGACTGTGATGAATTCATTTGTGCTAAATGTGCCAAAACAGATCATAGAGATCATGACTGGAACACTATACCCACGGCAGCCACCCACAGGAGAAGAGGTCTACCTACATTTCTGAACAAGATCAAGGAAAAGGAGCTGCCTGGGATTGATGAGAAAATAAAGAAGATTCTACAACAGGTGACAGAAAATACAGAACTGTGTGATGCTGATATTGAAAAGCTTCAGAAGCATGTTGATGAGATAATAGCCAGGTTGATAAAAATCAGAAAACGTCATGAACAAACAATCAGAGACAACTTAGTTGAAAAGAATGATCAGCTGAACCAAGTGAAATCTGAATTAGAGAAGAAGAAGAAAGGAATTACTGATACAGTGGAATTCATAGAGAACAACAGCACCATGTCAGATTACAGCTTGATTGACAATCACAGAGAGCTAACAAAAATGCTCTCTGAATTGGAGGTTCATACCACAGACTGTGAACATTCAGTGAGGTTCACTAGGGGTGAAATTAAAGATGACTTAGTCGAATCTTTGATTGGAAAAACTTTACATTTAGATTCTATTACTGTGACTCAGACAAATTCATTCCAATATGGAGATAAATCAATATCTATTTTGGAGGCTTTCAGTGAAGTCCAATGTTACATAAGCAATGCTTTATCAAAGTATACAGAAAAAGTTGACAACAATGGTGCAATAAGACATAGATATAGTATTAATCCATATGACATGTGTATGACTGGAAACAGTGATGTTTATTTCACTGATTATATTAACAAATCAATTGCCCTCCTGTCAACATCAGGATCTGTCTCTACAGTCATCAGTACAGATCCACTGGGACCATATGGAATCTGTCAGTCAGTGGATGGTGGACTACTGGTCACCTTGAAAGACAATGAATCAGATTATTACAAATTAAAGCCACAAAGCATTCGTCTGGTGAGACATATCACAGTGACAGGTGATGTCATCCATGAGTATGAGTACCAGGAGGACGGTCACACCAGATTATTTACATTGCCAGTCAGAGTCACACAGAACAGTAACAGTGATATCTGTGTTGTGAACCGTACAAATGAAAATACAGGTGAACTAGTGATTATGTCTCCCTCTGGTCGTATGAAGTCTGTCTACAGTAGACAGAACCTGAAAGAAGACTTTAAACCAACCGATGTAGTGTGCGACTCCTTCTGTAACATCCTTGTTACTGACCATAACAACAAACAGATCCATCTACTGAGTCCTGACGTGGAGTTCCTGAAGTTCTTACTAATGCAAAATGAAGTGCACCATCCATTCAGAATATCTCTGTACAAGTCTACACTGTGGGTGGGATACTATGGACGATGTGTAAAAGTGTATAGATACTCAGTGTAACATTTAATATAGATCAATTGTAACTGAATCATTCATACCAGACTTATTATAAATATTTCATCACTGTGACAAATTATCAACTAAATGTACTTGGGGCGATCAAAAATAATGCAAGTAATGTTATTCCATAGATATTTTTCGTAATTGACCATAACCGATGTCACGTACGGCACGGGTAGATACATTCATTACCTGAGTCTGTCTAAAATTTCTAATCGTTTTATACAATATTTTTCTTGATATACCTGCAAAAATAATTTTGAATGAAATTTGTCTGATTTATGGAGATTCTGCAGTTTCGTTAAGCACAGTTTGTTGTTGGTTGAAAAAGATTAAGAGTGGCATTGACGTCGTTAAAGATTCTTCAAGAACAGGGCGCCCAAAACAGCTAGCTGTTACTGATGGAAACGTTGCTGCAGTAAAGAAATTGGTACAGGAAGACTGAAGATATACTCTTAAATATATTGCTAGCATTGTTGGCATCTCATCAGCAAAGGTACATCAAATTTGGACGAAGCCCCTCCCCCAACGTAAGGTATGTGCACGATGGATACCGCATCTCTTGACACCAGATTAAAAGACAATGTGTTTGAATTTTGCAAGAAAACTGTTGAAAATCTATAAAAACTGTGACAGGAGAAAATTTGCTGACTAACTAACAGGTGATGAAACTTGGATTACTTTTTTTAGCTGCAAAGAAAAAATAACAATGTGATGTGGGTAAGGAAGAATAGCGAGCGTCCTGTCATTGCAAAAAGGTGTCCGAGTGCTAAGAGAATTTTATATGCTATTTTCTTTAATTCTAGTGGTCCAGTTGTGCAAATTCCAACTCCGCAAGTAGAAGTATCTCAGGACAGTTCTACAAAATTAATGTACAGAAAAAAATTAAGAAAGTGTATGAAAAGGAAAGACCAAAGACAGTCTTGAAGAACATGAAGATCATTCATGACAATACCCCAGCTCATAAGAGTAAAACAGTTCAAATTTTTTTGAAGGATGAAAAGGTTTTTCAGCTCCCAAACACCCCGTATTCTCCTGACTT